CGGACTCAAAGTCTAAATCTTAATATTTGCCTTGCCTTACAAATTGCCATTTATAAGGCATAAATAGTTTACTCTACAGCACCGCGGAGCTAACACACTAGTGACTGTAGAGATCACCATTATGGGAGTGGTTCTCTAGTGGTTATGGCATGATTGGCCCCCAGAGGCTCTGAGTTCAAGCCCCACTCCCACAGACTGCCACTCTGGGTCCCTGAGGAAGACCCTTAACCCCATACTGCTCCCCGGGTGCCCCATGATGGCAGCCCACTGCTGCCCAGTTGGATGGGTTAAATGCAGAATGAATTTCTCCAGTGTGAGATTAATAAAGTACAAATATTAAATTATTATTACACTTTGATGGGACCTATATGTAGGGACCTATGTAGAGTCCTATATAGACTAATAAAATATTTATATAAAATAATTTATGTAAACTAGACTTACAACGGTCTCCACCGGATTATTATTAAGACGACCGATTTCAAGCGTAGCGTTTCATTCTAATGCTTTTCCTGCTTGTGGAAGGTCTGACTGACTGAACTCTGAAGCCCTCAATGTGACCAAAAAAATAACATTTGTGTATTAAAAATATATTTCTATTGGTAATATGGAATCCAAACTTCTGAGAAAGTAACGTTTTGTATTACTCATTAGCTAGAGAGTTTCATTGTTAACATTTAAAATATCAACCTAAATGTAAACTTAATCACAAAAATTCACTTTTTGTGGATATTATGACTTCATGTGATGCACCTGTGCACTTAAAAAGCAACCTTCCAAACTGGCTGTAAAAAAGAAAGACAAAAAGACTGTTTTAGTCTTTAACATCTTATTAAATAGTTTTAGGAACAAAGAATAAATCATTTTAATGTTACAATTAGTTTACACAATTTCTCCTCCAGACAGTTCAGCAAACATTAAATATACATGTTTCTGTTTGTCTTTACATCCATTTAAAGTTTCTCAGCTTGTTCTTTGATTTACTGGTGATGTGTAACATGAGCAGAGAGCAATGTTCAAAGAGTAGAAAAAATAAAAAGGTATGAAAAAAGGTCCTAAAACACTAAAACGATTTCACCAAAACCACAGATTACAAACAGCTTCAAAAGCAGTTAGACTTTAAATAAAAAGTACAAGAAAGATGGTGCGCTTTCCAGCATGATTTAAGATTTAAAGTAAGGATTTTCTTTTTTTGTAGTACTTTTAGAAATATCTGTTTGCAAAAACATAAAAATGATGTATAAAAAAAAACATTGAAAAAGATAAAACACTTTACACAGAAGTATAATCTTCAGGCAGAGCCCCCTTCAAAACAACTGAAAGGGATCAATGTCTTTGTCGTCACCTGATGGTTACCTTCTTAAGAGCCAGCAGATGGTTAAAATGACTTCTACCCTGAAAACCATCTGTGTCTGCTTTAACTGGGCTATTTCTGTAACAACCTCATGTACATATGTGTGTTTAGACTTTAAATATGAGAGAATAAAAGCTTGGAGTTAAAGATCAAGTTGATTTAGGCACATAGACCATCATAGATAAGGAAAGCTCCCACATCTGCCCCTAAATGACCGGCTCTTATTAAGGTGACCAGCAGGTGTCTCTTCCTGCATCCAGAAACATGAAGAGTGAGAATTCCCGGGAGAGAAAACTAGGTACACCAAACATGATGGGACTGTAATATAGTTTTGCTGCAGGACTGCGGGCGTTGGGGCATGAAAAGTATGCAGGGGGAGGAGAAACATGATGGGAGATGTGCAAGTTGCATTTTTCAGAAACGGCAAAAGAGGTTGTGCAGGTTATAATCATGTGTGCATGGCATGCAGAAACAAAAAAAAAAAAAAAACACCCTCCATCGACACGCCCAGAGACGATCTCCCCACTCTTCTCTTACTTCTCTAAACGATAAGGAAGGTGAGCTTTTCTATATACTGCCTGTCATTTCTCTCCTCAGCTCTCTTGTTTATTTCTTCCATCTTATCCAGGATGATCATCAGACTTCATCTACTACTCAGTTAAGCCGCATTAGGTAAACTGACTTCAGACTCTGATATAATTCCACCACTCTTAGTGAGCTTTAACACTTCCTCCACTGGAAACAGATGATAAAGGTTGGCACTGAGGATAGGAAAAAGGCCAGAAGTGTGCATACTGTTTGAAAAACTGAAGGCGGGTCTTTGAAACAGCGATTTTGCAAATATAGATATTGTAATATTGCAGATCTAGATGGAATCAATCGTTTAAATTCAACATGATAACCTCACTGCATTTTGGATCAATATAGAATCGAAAAGTTACAAATATTTCAAATTCAATTTTACAAAGATCAAACTTTAAACCTCTGATGCATTTCCGATATTTTACTCTGAACCCTCAACTTCGATAGTGGGTCTACCCTGAACCTTAAACTGCTACAAGTATTAAGAGAGTGCCAGACTGTTTCTAGAAATCCAGCCTGATGCATCTGAGAAGGTTTTCCCACAAGTGGACCCAGTGGTTAGGTCCACAAACTCTTCAATCTAACATGAGTCTGTAAAGATGGTTGTTTTCTATTGGAATAAAAGTCAAAATGAAAATCACTCCAGGATAAAAGGGAAGAATATTTAAAAGTGAAATCAGTGAAGTTACTACGGAACAAAAACTATCATCAGATCCTCACAATAAATAAAAAGGCCCCTAAAGACATTCAACCACTTCTTTCATGTCATTTCATAGAAAGCTTTGACTTTATCCATCTAAAGAAGGTCGCAGTACATTTCAGAGTCCAGGTCAGTTACAACTGCCTCTTTGGACTATGTTGGCACCACTTTATGTGCAAGCACTTGCAGTAATAAAAGAGGGGGAAAAAAAAGGCCCACACTAAATTTTAAACATTTCAGATTAACTTCTGAATGTTTCAGCTTCCTGCATTTCAATAAAAGTAGCCACAAATGGAATGGAAGAGAAACAACATAAATCTAAAAATACAAAGTCCTGAAAAAAAAAAAAGGTGCTGAAGCTTTAGTATAGGGGGATGTAAACTGATAAAAACATTTTTAAAACTATGTCCACACTGGGACACACAAGCCTGCTGCAAAAACTTTATGCAAATATCTCAAAAAAGCTTTAAAAAGAAAGAAAAGGGAAGAAGGATCTCAGTAGTAATGGATGGTAAAACCTTCAATTTTCTGGCTTTTCTGTAACAGGTAATCAATAGAACTAAAAAAAAAAAACTAAACTAGCTTTTTGGTTTGATAAAACTCTTCAGGGAATATTATTTTGTAACCAAACAAATCCTTTCAAAGTTGTATTTAAAGCAGTACACAGTACTCCAATCTGAACACAGTGTGTTCAGATTGGAGAGGAACTCTTTAGGGCCACACCTCTGCTCACAAGGTGTTTATAAGGTTTGACATCTGACTGAAAGCAGCCATCGGCAGTTAAACAAACACCTAACTAGCATTTTTAATAGATAATAAAAATCTGAAAAGTGTGGGGTGCATTTGTATTCAGTTCCTTTTTCACTGAAACCTCTATATAAAAAGGGTACAATTTGATCTTGGTATAAATCCAGTGATTTTGCTAAGGCCAGAGGTTTGATAAACAAGCATCATGAAGACAAAAGCAGAGCAGAAAGGTCGAGGTTTAAGTTGTGACGTTTAAAGGAGGACTGAGGACGGAAAGGGTATGGTAAAACCCAAAAGCACTAAAACATGGCCGCCCAATTAAACAGATGGGATGAGCAAGGTGGAAAATATTCAGAGAGGAGGCTAAGAGGTCCATGTTAGCCATTAATGCAAGAGTTCTAAGAATGCTGACGTTAATAAAAGCTCAGCAGTTTACAACAAGCCATGTAGGAAACACAGCAAACGTGAGGTAGAAGGTGCTCTGGTCGGAAATGACACAAACCAATCCCTTCAAATGAGAAAAATTTGAATGCAATGAGGAAAACTAAAGGCTACATAAACAACACCTACCAGTGAAACATGGTGGTGGCAGCATCATGCTCTTTGGATGCAGATACAGAACAGATTGTTAGGATTAATGAGATGTGACTAAATACAGAAAATCCTGGGAGGAAACTAGTTAGATACTGCTAAGGACTTAAACGTGAGGTAGAGGTTCAGTTTGCTGACAGGCTGATGGAGACAACCTCCAAATGACTTGTAGCCGTGATTTCAGATTCTATTTAGCCTCAGGAGTGCTAAATACTGAAATGGACCACACTTTTCAGGGTTTTATCTGTGAAAAATAAAATATAAATAAAGAGAAAACATTCATAAATGTTTTTGCCCAAACTCATAATTCTGAAACAAGTTAAAAGTTGTATTTTTGATGTGAAATGAAGATGCAGGCTGCACTGGGAGTCTATTCAGTGGAAAGTAAACTTCAACCAGCAGCACCTTGCTGCTAAAAGCAAAAAAATAAAAAGCTACATAACCCCTGACATAGGATCAAGTATCTCTAGCACTACTGCCTAAAGAGCATTCAATTTCTCTGTCGTCGTTAACTCCCTTTAAGCCTTATGTACACAAAGTCTACACGACAAGGCCACATGTCTGTTACTGTGCGTCATCAAAGCTTTTAAAAAGGTAGCGCTTGAGTTTGAGAGCTCAAGCTGATACGTAAAGAAAAGAAATGTAACCAAACTAATCCTCTGAAATAACTAAAGCCACTGTAATTCAATTCAACATCTCCATAAAGAGGGTCAGGCTGTCAGTTGGAATCTTCTGCATAATACTGACATGGTAAGGACACGTAAACTGGAGCTGTTAACCATCCTTTAACCCAGTTGTTTGGGATGGGTCATGAATATACAGAAAAGAAAAAAAAAAAGGGGGGGGGGGGGTTTGTGTGGGGGGGGGGAAAAAAAAAAAAAAAAGGGGGGGGGGGGGGGGGGGATATGCTGCTAAATGAATAAAAAAAAAGATGCTTTAAATCACCGATCTGGTATTAAAACTCAGGAAGCGGTCAGTGCAAAAAAACAAACAAAAAAAAAAATTACAATAGCTTTGCATGGGTAAGGGCACCCTACCTACATCAGTCTGCATGACCCCCGCATCATGCATGGCAGCACTTAAACTACAGCTACTGAGGCTCTCTGCAAGTGTGTGTGTGTGTCTGTCGCTAATGGGGTTGCATAACAAAGTTTGGAGGCAACACTATGTGCAATTGACTTGATCTACTCTGCTGTGCTTTCAGTAGAAGGAATTTTATGAGCTGATTCAGGGACTATGAATTAGCAGCAATTAGGAGTCAGAAAATTAACATCCCGCTCTGCTTTTCCAATGACCTTTGGTCTCCTGGAAGGAAATTAAAGCACAAGCTATTGTCATCCTGCACACACACACACCCACTGAATGACCTCTGCATGGAGACTTCTTTCTAACACATGCTGTGATTTGCTATAGCATGCTTGAAAACAGTGTAGAGGGGGGTGGGGAAAAACACACAGACAGGTCGAAGAAAACGCATACTGACGGGGAAGTTGGTGCAACACATTTTCTTCCACACAATCCTGCTCAGATTCTGTCTGTGCTCCATTCTCCCATCATTTCATCTTAGTGTACCATCCCTCGCTCCCTAAAAAATTCTGCCACATTTAACATCTCTCCTGCGCCTCGGGCTATACCCGACTCTCGCCTGGAGCAGCACTTCCCTCCCCTCCTCCCTTGCCCACATCCCCGAGTCCCTTTCTGCTCCTGCCGCCATCCTGAAGACGCCCCCAGTGGTAGCCGATGAACACAGGGCTGATGGGGATGTACTTGAAGATGGCATATCTTTGAAAGAAGTCCATTCCAAATGGCAGATCATAGGATCTCATTCCTTCCAGTTCTGCGGCGCTGAGACCAGTTCCTCTTTTAAGCTTCCTGATGCCCCGTTCCTCCAAGGTTCCTGAGGTTAGACAAGTAGATATTAATCTAAAGTCCCTCTAAATAAAATAACAAACAAGGAAATCTTCTCAGGATTTCTCTGCTGCTATAGCTTTACAATGAAGTGGGGATGAAGTGAAATTAGAGCAGCTGCTGTGAAGCAAGTAATATTTGATGAGATAAAATTACTGGGTGTCTTGTATATGATATTAGCACAGTTAGCATAACTAAAACCGCAGGTTCTTTGCGTCTTCCCTGCAGAATATAGATCCTTACCTTAAGCCAGATTTCTGAAAGGATGACCATATTTAAAAATCCACACGGTAAAGTTGGAAGCTCAAGGGGTAAAGAGGAGAACCTTAGCAGGTATCCGTTTACACTTCCTGTGATTAGCTGTAAGAATCATTCTCTCCCATATAACTAATGATCCACAGACTCAACATGTCAGTGAAAATACGCTTTCTGTTTAAATGTCTTTTCATCTCAGATTGTCAAACTTCCCATTTAAAGAAAATTAAAGTTACATTGCAAATTGCTAACCTTAAGGTCTTCTCTGTAACAATTTCTACCATCCCAAAGCATAATGCTGCCTCTTGATGCCATCAATTATGTGAAGAACAAACGGATCTCATTGGGATGAGACTAAAGCATTTTTTAAATAATATTTTGGGGGTTTTGCAACTAAGAAACTACAAAAAAGAAACCAAACAATGTGTTTCTTTTATGTGTTTAAATAAATGCAGAGAGAAAAATGTGGTATCAATGTTTGAGACAGCTGGCACTGGTTGCAGAGATTTTCTGAACGTTCCTGCCATCCTCTAATTAGTTTGTTCCATTGTTGTCCTCTCAAGGGCCTAATTTAAGTTTGGTTTAGTTGATTTTACCGTTTTATATGTGGTAAGAAGTTTAAAATGAATAAAATAAAAGCTGCTTTGATAAGAAACGATAAAAAAAAGGAAAAGAAAAAGAGAAAATCTGCAGCTGCACATCGGCCCATTGGTCCTCTGTTGCTCTCTTTGGGTGGTAGCAGGCGTAGCCCTGGACCTTCTCCACCTCCTCCTCCTCCTGGGTGCGTCTCCTGACTCTCCCTCCCGAGGGATCCTCACGGACAGATTTAAAACAGCCTCGATATGCTCTGCCTTTCTACGCAAACCTGTACCTGCTCAGCAGTCACAGCCAAATTGTTATTTTAAATTGCTTTGTGAACCCAACCTACCCCCTTCTTGTCATAATGACCACCTACCACCACCAACATACTTCATCATGCAGTAAAACCAGAAACAAGGTGAAAGAAAACCTTACCAGGAATAGTATTGTCCAAAATAAAGGCAACACATCCTCCAACAAACATCGCAGTAGTGAGCAGCACATTGAGGACTTGGTCAACTTCAACAATGCCTGAGGAGGAAAAGACATGAAATTAGCTGCCAACTCGCTAGTATTTGTTTTTTTAGGCCTTTACAGACTCAGAATATCCTCCTCCCTTTTTTTGCAGTTCTGTCATTTATGCAACCAGATGGCAATAAACGTGATGGGCAATGCTCATCTGCTTTCCCCATCATAATTATCACTATTTCTTTTCTCTCCATTTGCAAACAAATAAAATATTTCCTCATGCCTGAAGAACAAACATGGCCACTTCTCTCTATCATCTAGTATAAAGGGCCTAATCTGTGCCTAATCTCATCCATTACTTAGCTAAGCTAACCTAATACCTTAACTATGAGCCAGAACTGCAGTTAGAAGCAGCGTGTCTGTTGAGCAGCTGACTGCGGAATAGAAACTTGAGGGATTAAAAAGGCTATTATCAGCTTTTTAAATTTCTCAGTGTTACTCTGGAAGCAGAATGGCAAAAAAAGCAGAATAAATAAACAATGTATAAAAAATTTGATTAAATAGTTAACATAATTAGAAAAATACAAAGTGAGTTAGATTATTTTAGCAACCTAATAATTAGCTGTTTAGCTTTCAATAAAAGTAATTAGATATTTGCATGTTTGTGTAGTATGCATATTCTCTAAGCGATAAAACCACACAGCTAAAGGTCATTACATGATGGAATAAAACACTATTGGTTAAGCTTCAGCTGCAGCTCACCGGTGACCAACGGGTTCTGTTTAAGGTAGCTGGGGAGCATCAGACCAAAGAAGATGGAGAAGCCAAGGACGAAGAGGTTTCTGGACGAGTTGAGGTCGATGAACTGCAGGTTGGAGAGCCCGACTGCTGTGATCATCCCAAATAGGGTGCAAAACAGAGCCCCCAGGACTGGGTCAGGCAGAGAGGCAAACAGGGCGCTGAATTTACCCACCAGCCCCAGCAGCAGCATCATGGCAGCGCCATATTGGATTACACGTCTGCTGCCCACCTGAGGAAGCAGAGAAACGGCTTTCAGATCAGGATTTGTATATCACGTCTAATCTGTTTTTTGTTTTTTTCAGCTACAGTTTTATTAAAGATCGGATAAAAATGACAAATCTTTAATTTTCAGAGTTTCCTAAGTTTAAGTCCTTTATTTTAAAAACTAAACTTCAAATTAATTTAGGAGTAAAATTTTATAGCAGACAGACTTAAAAAAAATTCTGCAAAGGAATAAAACAGAAAAAAGGGACATTAGAGGGAAACAGGCAAAGGAGGAACAAACAGCTAAAACAAACTGATACTGGGCATTACCTTTGTTATTCCAAGGACACCAATGTTTGGACTGGAGGAGGTTGAACCGTTTCCCGTCCCGAAAACACCATCCAGCACACAGGAAATACCCTCAACAAATATCCCCCTAATGAGTTAAAGCAAAAGCATTAGTTATACATTATTTACCCATTAACCGCTTCCGGTAGAGCTGGAGCTTTAAAAGGTTAACGTACCGATTGATGGCGTGGATCGGAGGCGGAGGAGCGCAGGAGAGGCGAGCACAGGCGTAGTAGTCTCCGATGGACTCGATGATGCTGGCCACCACTGCGCTCATCATACCGATCACACCGGCTGCTGTGATGGTGGGAGTTCCCCACTGGACTGAAGAGGAGAAAGGACATAAAACATCAGAGCTCAGACACAAGCGACTTAAAATGATTATCGTCCTTTAAATGGATATTACTTTAAGAACAACAGACAGCTCAAAATCTAAGAAAAAATATATCTTACAGCATGAAAAGTACCGGTATTATAAATATAAATAAGGCAGAATCTTTGTTTATATTATTTACTTGAAATTAGATGAGAAATTTCAGAGCATTTCTAACACAAAGAGCTTTTTATTGTCCGTCAGCTCTAGAAACAGAAAGGTTATTAGCATACATGGATGGTGACAGCATATGTAACAGTCAAGGATTGCTGCCTATTGCTGTAAACAGAAGACTGGTTTCTGCACCAAAACAGACCTCTAACGGGAATATGTGGAGTGGATGTTTAGACGTTTATTTGGAACACAGATAAAATATGAAGTGAGACCTCTCACTGTTGGCCTCAGGACCATACAACTATAACAACCTTGGCTTCAAAGAAAACACACCACAGGGCTAAGGGATGAGGACGCAGAGTTTTTCATGACCCAAACAGATGACTGTGGCATCCAGGCACCTGCAGCTGTCATTTGATGGAATAATGAGTGACAATATTTAGTTTTACTGGGATTGATGAACAGAAATCAACCTCAATTTTCTTTCTCTATGATTACCTGTAATAAATAGCTGCAGAACTGATTAAACCTGTATTGCTTTCTAGTTTACTTTGTTTTCGTAGAAACCTAATTCTAATTTCTCCCATTCACAGTCTCCATGCTTTACACAATCACTGCACAGCTGGATAATATAAAAATGGAGAGGAGGAGAGAAGGACATAAGAGGAACAAAGCTGATCTGAACTGGATCAGAAGTTACAACATCTACATAAATATTGCCAGAATTTTACTGGCATCATCTTCATATAATAAACTCATAAGCTGGAAACTTTTCTGTCATTACTTTCTCCAGTGTTTGTTGCATAACGCTGTTAGATTTCAGCAGCTTTAGGCAGGATGTTCTTGTGCTCAATCTCCCTCTCTTTTTTTTTTTTTTTAACTTCACCTGTGAAACTGAATGCAAACATAAGTAGATTGTAATATCCCACAATGCAACGAAAAACGAACAAAGCTAGATATCGGGTGAAATCAGTAACTTCAAATTTAATACTGAGAACTTGTTTTTCAAAAATAAATCTAGAAAATCTTAGCTCTGGTTAGAAGGGAAGGGTTGTATTAAATTAGGACAGGGAAACCTTCATAACGACAAAGTTTGAGGTTTCAGGCTAACTGAATTAGTTGTCTTACAACCTAAATCAAGCTTTCCACCAGTAACCGTCTTGCTGATTATCAAAACTAGTGTTTTATACGACAACAGTCCGAAAAAACCCAGTTACATTCATAACTGCCCCAAATCAGACACCAGAAGCCTGTACTTCATTAACCCTCTCCCCCCTGTCCTCAAGAAACTTACAGGGATAGGGAATTTTGAACCACGGAGCAGCCTTTAAGATCCCCTGACGTGCGTCAGTGCGGGCATAGAAACCATATTTGTTCTCTTCAGGCGGGAAAACATCCGTCACGGTAAAAATGAAGCATAGCAGCCATGACACCAAAATGGCCATAATGATCTGGGCGAAAGAGAGAAAAGTGCAGTTAGATTAAAGTCCTGAACCATCAAGTTCTCAATTCTCATTATATGCAAGATAAAAAACAAAACATTTAGCAAATAAGTCTTTGATGAGCTAAGAAAAATAAAGTTATCACTGCAATAATATATATATATATATATATATATATATATATATATATATATATATATATATATATATATTTTACAGACAATATTAAACACATTTTCCACAGAAAAAAGACTGATTTAAATGCTTCAACTTGTTCCCAGCGTCTGAGTGGAACATTTTAAGGCAGGAGCATCCAGAGCCCCTTTGATGAGACACATGAATCAAACAGACAAGGACCTGGGGAGATTTTAATTGTTTGGCCTGCAGAGGGGATAAAAGGGACTGAATTACAGATGCCTGTGGGGAATGAGATTACCTGCTGAATAATCTGACTTATATGGAAACAAAGCTTTAAATAAAACCAAGTGAACTCACTACACTAGAGATAAAAGTTAGCATTGTGGATGGAATAAGAAAAAGGATGAATCTACACACAGTTTCTGCAAAAGGAGATCAAACGGAAACTCACCGGAAACATTTTGAAAACCTGCAGCCTGTAGAAACTCCAACCTTTCTTGGCTTTGTAGATCGGCAGGGGGAAGTGAACATTTCTGGCATACTGAGAGAAGAGCAGCACCAAAAATATGGTTCTGCAGACACAAAAATAGCCGCCAGTCAGTTGAATGTGTCAGATAATAGGGACTTATTATTTTCTATGCCTTCTACTCCCCTGAGTAACATGTAATCCTGTTTGAAGACATTCCATTTAGTCCTGAATGTGTCACGCCATGACTCCAGAGGATTCAGAGCAAATCAATTATCCTAACTGCCTGAGAACTCTGTGGCAATTACAGGCACATATCCCTTGTTACCGCAGAGCCAGAGAGGCTCTTCAGCAAACAACAATGACATGGCAGGATCTGATGTCAGACGACCTGAATATGAAAACCAAAAGGTGAACCTACCTTTATCTCCCTGTTCCTTTTAGGTTTACACCCAAAAACAACCCAAATCTTGTTTTGTGAAGTATTATGCTCAACACAGCTGAACTCTATATTGTTACACAACCAAATTAAAGACATTCAACTAGGAGATTTAAAGCCTTAAAGGTATAGTGGAGAATGGATCATCAAAATAAGTGGTCCTCCTAATTGTCAATCATTCTAGTGATATGTTTATGTAAGGCCATCCTACGTGATTGACCCCATTTTCACTTACCGGTGGTGAGTCTGATATAGTAGAAAAATTGCAAATCTTCTTTTGGAAAGTCAGCTTGTATGAGCGATGCAAACAGCAACTTTTAAACAGAGCATGCATGAGGAGAAATTGGCTTGTGCACGCTCTCGCATGGGTTTAATAGGCGTCCCCTCTCAAGAGCGGGTACAGGGTTTTGCATGTGCATTTTTTTTTTTGCAAGTGGAGAGGGTGGGTCTTTTCAAAAATTTGCAAAAGATCCTCCACAATACCTTTTGATGTTGGCTCAAAGAGGCAACTAAGATATCCAAACCAACCTGGCCCAATGTGAAAAAGTATTTTCTCTGTAAAACTAATAACTGGTGCCATTCTCCTATTAGCAGCATTCTAATCCTAAAACTTTTATTTACTTAGATCAGTGGTTGATGTGTTGCTTGTCTAGATCCCTCAGTCTGCTTCATGTCGTCAAACAGGTTCTACAGGTCATGAGCATGGCCAATAAAGCTTAATCAGAAATTGTGTTCAAGCTAAGATAATGTGTAGTTTAACAAAACATTTCCACAAAGTCCGGTTAATTTCAAAAGTTTTTTTTTTTTTAGACCCTGCTATAGAAAAAATAATTAACTGCATTTTAAGCCTGCACTTACAGCATAGCGATGCCCCAGTGTTTTCCTGCCCTCTCGCCTGCAGCCTGAAAACCGGAGAGCCCGATGAGCGCCACGGTGGGAGTGATGGTCAGAGGCCCGATGTATTTTAGCAGCATCCCAGGTAAGCCCAGAGCTCCGATGCACACCTCGATCAGGGATGATACAATGATCGCTCCTTGGATCTGTGACGATAAAAAAAACGGGATTAGGGAGTTTCCATAGGTTCCAAATAAAGCAGATAAATTTAGTCATGTACCTGTAAAACTGGAGCATACATCTGGAAAATAAATGTAACCAAACATAGCTAGCTAAAAGTCACTAGCTAACTGCTATTAGCCTTATGTGCCAGTGACATATGACTTAGCATTTGAGGTTTACCAAAGGAAGTTTTGCTGTGCTGTTTGTTTGAAAGTATGAATGAGATTAGAAAAAAATGCCAGCATTGCAAAAAAACTGTTAGTACCACAGCTAAAATTATGAGAACAACCAGCAGTCATAAGGGATTTAGAGGTTGTGGTGTAACCTCAGACTTCCTTGGGAGAAAATCTTCCTGTTTAATTTCTAACTTGTGACAATAAACTTTCACAAGTAAAAAAAGGTTTAAAAGTAAAAAAACAACACAAAAAAAAAATAAGTGAACCAAGAAAATGAATAGTCCCCCCCTTTACTTGTTTTGCTGTCTTAAAACAAAAGGATCCAAAAAATATCTTAACTTTTCTTCTTTAACAGTTAAAAATATTTAAGATAACAGGTTTATTGAAAACCACAAATAGCTGAGATTGAACTTGTAAAAAGATTAAGAACTTCAGCTTTGGACTACGGTCTTTAACTGGCTCTAAATGAGCTATAAGGGGGGGAACAGATCTGCCTGGATTGGTTCAGTTTAATACTTGGTTCAGTTTAATACTTTAAAATTCAGTTTAAATGGCTGTTTATAATTAGCTTCCTACGGTGAAATTAAAAGTCACAGAAAATCCATTTCCTCTGTGGTCTTAGCCAGTGGTTCAGCTTTGAAATTAATTTCATCTCATGATCCAACACTGGAACAGCATTTCAAATGGTGAGAGGTTATATGATGCATCTGATATAAATCCAGTCAAAATGAGCTGTAGTTCTGTTCAGCTCTTTATGTAGAAGTAGACTAAACTGAAATATATGTCTGATCTATCAGAGTCTGCCATTTTAGGCTCAACGTTTACCTGCTAGCAGTGAAATCAGACTGGCTCACTACCATCATCATCATCATCATCATGGCAGGGTGAGATGTGGCAACAGAATTGATGTTCCAGAAAATAAAGATGTTAAGCTTTCCTCCGTATCCCTTAGTGAGGAGTACTTTCCCAGTGTTTTAAAATCTATTCCAGTCTTATTATGTTTTTTTTTTCTCAGTTGTTTCACATAAAGATCAATTACTGAACCGGTTAACTCAGACTGAAAAGGATGACGGTTAACGTGTTCCGTCTCAAAGGCAAACCCTGCAGACACACGGAGACAGCGATTTTATATTGGTACAAAACATCTCCTATAGTAGGTTGGGAAACACCCAGCATTCCATTTCGGTTGTGTAAAACGTTGCATAAAGGGTTACTTAAGCTAATCTGAACAACATCTGATTTAATTTCTTGAAGCTTATTTTCTAAGCCTCTACCAAATTTCCTTCTCTATGCCCACATGTGTTGCCTGCTTGTCTTCTGGACTCACCTCCCGTATCCTGGGGTGCCAGATGTGCTCAGTGTGGAGGAGCTCTGTGCTGTTAAGGAGCGGGTGTTCTGCTCGGGTTCAAAGAGAATAGGTGCTATTAGATTATGTATTGCAATGTTTAAATAGGAGGAACTGGAGAAAGGAAGAGTTACCTGTGCTGTTACACTTCCATTTATCCAAAGACAGGATGGCTCTGGCTGGTGCAAGGAAAGCAAATGCACTCGCCTGGAATAAGGGCAATCTAGAGGAAAAAACGAGAATAGAGGGTAGTATTTGTCATGTAGAAATGCAGTATGCCAGAAATGTGGGACAGAGGGTTCATACAAACCCTGCTGGAACTGTTTTTCACTTTAAAAGGGTGCTAACAAGTGCTCAGACCAGAGCCTGCACTAATAAAGAAGGATAAACCAAAATAATTTCAAGGAGAGATTGTTCAGTAAAAGTCATTTAAGCTTGCCGAAATGCAATAGCTATAAAAGAAGAAAATAAGCAACATTTTTTTTTTTTCTCCAAAACAAACTTTTCATTCAAAGATGATTTGAGTCTTGGGCAGATGAGGCTTCAGCTCTAAAGGAAAATATATATTTTTTAATATACCTTTAAGCGTCCTTTTTCTAGATCCTTGTAACTAAAAATAATGTTTTTGATCCTTTTCTGTCCGGTTAGGATTTCCAGTAACAAGTATGATACAAATTCAATATAAACTTTGTTGAACTGCCAAATCCTAACCCCCCCTGATTCCCTCTCTCAGCCTTTTCTTTTCACTGGTATTTGTCTGCAGACAGTAATCCACAAAAACAGACAAATAAGTCAGAGAGGGAAAGAGTGGGCTGATGGTGTGGCGGGTATGCCACTGGCACCGAAGCCGAAACCAGTCTCTTATATGACTGGATCTGAGTAAAAGGCCAAGAGAAGGACAACAGCTTATATAACTAAACTCCAGGGCCAACACCCTTTGACAATGTTGTTTATTCCAATTTTCTGTAGTTTCCCTGTTGTTGAGCTAAATATTTAATTATGTCGAGTAAATTTTAATATTCTTTAGAACGAGTTTGAGCCACAATCTAAAGAAGAAGAAAAAAAGAGGAACCGATACAGATTGTGTTCAAATACTTTCAAGTGTTGCTGATTTTATTAGATCAGACTTCAAATGAAACCTCAGACTGATTCTTAGAGTGTTTAAAGATTTAGAGAAAAACAAAAAAACAAAACACACAATACTATTGAAGGTTTACATAATGAGGGATTACAGGGCATGGTTATGCAAAGATCAGGGGCAAGACTTGTTTTGTAGATCAAGAAATGATATGTTGTTAAATAGGAATATTCAAAAGGTTTAATCTTGGATAATATTCTCAGTACGTTTTGTAATAAGGGTCTCATGTAGGAATTGATCAGCACAATGAGAAAGAACTGATAAATTTAGTAACCAAATCAAATCCACTAGATAGGAAAAAATCCATAAAATAAACAGCAAAAAAACAACCCTTAAAGAATTAGATTACATAAGTATGAGAGACAACATAGTTATGTTTTGGCAGCTTAATTTCTGATACCTATCAATACTGGTTTAAGTGGGGCATACAGCTGTAACCATCTCTAACCCGCTTTCCCAAAAGACGAAGTAATTTGAAGCTGAGCTAAGCAGTTTAGAACAGAATAACACCCCAATACTTTTATGATGAATCAGGAGGGCAACTTTGTGGTACGTTTTGTCTGCACACAACAGACAGGAGCGCTAACAACACATTTAAAGAGAGATCAAAAACAGGGTGAAGAAGGATGCCTACTACAACTTGAGCATCGAGTCAAAACAGTAGAGCTAAGACATGAGTATATTAAAACATTTCTACCAGAACCAGTTATTCCTTAAGAAAAAAAGTGAAAAAGCTTATGATTATACATCTAGGATGTTAAAAAACAGAATTCAGAAGAAAAAAGCAAAATAAAATAAAAAATAATAATCCAGGAACACAAGTTGGAAAAATGTTTGATTCGGTTTGGAATAAATAATCCTGATACACGATGCGGGTGTCCTTTTAGATTTTAAAGCAGAAGAGAAGCTTTTTCGTTGTTTTATTTTTTTTTTAAATGCAAGTTGAAAGATTATTAAGGAGCAATATCAAAACAGAGAGGAAATGCTAGCTTTTAATACACCGCTCTAGGTGAAAACACCACCAGCTGCAAGATTTTAGTATATTGAAGACTTTAGATCTGTGTGTAGAGTTGGAAGTTTAATACCAGGCTAAGCTTTATGTTGAGAATTAGAAAGTTACCAATTTAGCTAAACACTAAAGTAGCATATATATATATATAAACTGAAGTTAAACATTCCAGGAAGAATGTGCCGGGTTTAAGAAATGCGAGTAGAAATCCAACAGAGGGCAACATGCAATCAATAAGGCCATCTGAACTGAAAGATCAGACTCCGGGAAAAAGAAAAAGACAAAAAGGACAGATATATAAATGAAACAAACTACGTAGCAATGTCTAAGACATATATGTAAGACAACATAAACAGGCTTGGTTTATGTGCGGTTTGTTTGTACCTACTAATTCTCCATTTTATATGGAAACTTGGAGCCGCAATAAAATGCTGTTTCATTTCCCCTTACCAACGCCATCAACTTATGGTGGCGTTTGTAAGAACAGCATTTTTTTGTGGCTCCAAGTTTCCACATAACATCCCAAACCATCGTAATCTCACCCATGTTGTGAATTTTGACCTTGACATTTATGTGATTAAGTATTTTGGTGATTCAAAAATGAGGTAAAATCAGTTCAGGAATTTGATGAAAATAAAAATTATTTTTTATTCTCCCTGCTGATTTAAAGAGTCACTTCCTCCCCTTATGGAATATGTAATCTTTCCGTTCTTCATAACAGGATCTTCTTGGTTCACTGTGGTGGCCAAGGTGCTGCTAAGCTGCTACGACAATATTTTGATAACACTACCTAAACTTTGACATGTTGATAGAAGCAGTATGCAAAGACAGCCCTCATTTTTGACTTCACAACATGAGAAGGAAACGTTGCTTTAAAATCGGCATCTGCCCATTTCGGCAATGTTAAAAACTTCAAACCTACTGGGATCAAGTTGTTCAGGCTATAGAAGAAGTAATGGGTTACAAAATACCCAAGGAGCCACGCATTGTATAGTTGGGTTGGCTGGAGAGTGAAGACATACAAAGGAAAGACATCCATCTCCTCAAAATCCTGATAGTGGCAGCTAAAAAGGAAGTTACCAGAAAGTGTTTGAAAAGTGACTCTTCCCACCTGATGCAGAGTGGATATCAATAGTAGAGGAAATCACGATGGAGAAAATGACCTACCCCCTAAGGATCAAATGGAAAACACCTGGAACAACCCCAGCTAGAAGACTAGCGCGACCCCCAAACCCCGCACAATAATGTCTTCATAATTTTGTTGCTTTTGTTTTTCTATGCAAACCTAAAAATATACAAAAGAAAAATCAGCATCTGCCTACATGTTACTAGAAATCAGTTATGCAATCTGTGTATTTTGGCAATCATGGCAGATGCTCTAAGTAAACCCAGGGGTTGCACCATTTTTTTTTTTTAAATAAAACAAGTAAATTGTAGACACACATGGTAGAGACATTCCTGGCAAAAAGGATTATATCAGATAGGGATGTCCACACCAGACATTAATATCTGATATCGGTACAATATTACTGAAAAAGCTAATATTGGATTTTAGCGGCCAGCATAAAAAATGTCTGATATTCTAATGCTTATAGAAACGCTCTACTTGGTTAAAAAGGTCTGTAACTCATTGGTTAGCTTTATGTGGGTCAGTTGTTTTCATACCTTTAGTTGTTGACGTTAGTTCCGTGTTTTAGTAATATGACTTGATCAACTAAGTTAAAAATAAGTTATATAAGCCGGTGTGATCCAAGCCAATATCGTATCAGATCAATATCAGTATCGGCCAATTCTCAAAGCTGCAATATTGGTTTTGTATCGGAAATGTAAACGTTGTATCTGGACATCCCTACTACCAAACATTGGATCAGAGGTGTAAAACCAGTATACTACATCGATGTCAGATTTTATTGGTAAACTTTTATACTCAATTGATAAGTACTTACTTTGTGTTAAACTATAACATAATTTGCCACTAAAACATATCAGTTTATGTTTGCAATAAATAGGGTTTTTCCCCCCATACTTAAAGTTAATACTTGATATTGATTAGAAAAGTACATGATAACATCATGACAGTGACAAAATATTCTGAAGGTATATGGTACTTCATTGCTCAGAGCAAATAAATATATTCCTAACATAATATCCTTTAATAGATCAAAACCACCGTGAAGTAAAAACTCAG